TTTTTTTTCTCAGCTAAGCGTAATAACATCAAAAAGTTGATTAAAGGCATTGACAATTATTTTAAGAATGTAATATATAATCTAAAGTACAATTCAGATTTATTAGTATTGAGACTAGTAATAATGATTCAATACATTGAAATGTTTTGAAAGCATTCCAACCACCTTTCCCATAATTGTAAATATTGTTTCATCAAACTGGGGAGGGTACCATTATTTATGCACTAAGTCATGTCCTCTCCCACCATATTCTTGTAGTCCCTGTGTCAGTTGACACCTTCCTTTATATTCACCATCTTTATTTAGGCCTGGATGTCTAAACTGAAGTTTGACCTGATGTGAATAGTGGCATGGATTCTCATTGTCCCTGAAAGCAAATTCTGTGATTTTGATGAATTTCTGTTGCTAAATTTTTGATTTCTGCTCTTGATGGCATTGGTCAATGCATCTCTTGCTTTCCAAAAGAGGTTATGGTACTGACATGTCTAGGGATATCTGGCATACACTGTCACAGCCAATAAGAAATGCAGGGTGAGATATAAGTGTCCTCTTAGTTTAAAAGTCTTTGGCATTTCAAAAATGGTTTTAATGAGCACCCTGTAATTGCTGATACGAATTTTGCCACTGCTGGTATACAGAGCGTTACCAAACTATCTCAAATGTCTAGAACCATTGGAGAGAGGTCTGGATGGCTTTAGACCTTGCTAGATTTTGTTTTAATTTTTTCCTAGACTTTCTTTTTTGAGTAGTGGTATTTTTGCACAAGCTGGGGAAAGGGAGTATTCGTATTTAATACATTAAAATTAAATATTGTCATTTTGTTATCATAGGAAAACCTATTGTACCTATGATACCTGTGGTAACAGTAAACCCCACCACCTGGAGATTGTTAGTATAAAAAGTAAAATTTTGAGAGTGTCCTCTTACAGAGTTGAAGCCTTCCCTGGTATTCAGTACAATTGCACTATATGGATTTGCTTTCATTAAAATGAGAAAGGTGGTGGTAGATAGTCTTTTGTGTGGCACAGGAGAGCATCTCTACGAGTTATCTTTTTCTTCTCTCAAAGTTCCTTCGTAATATGAAAACTTTGAAAATTTCATTAAAGTACTCTTACTCTTAAAAGTCTGTTGTACTTAAAAGATCTTGGTATTTGTCCTTTTATTTTTCTTGACTTTCATCCTTTCTTTGCACCAGTCTCAGGAAATGAGCGATTTGTATCTCACCCACGTAACAAACAGTTTGTCAGCTTCAGCGACAATATATGTGTGTAATTTCAGCTGACGAAGGGAAGCCTGGAAGGAATATTTTTGTATGACTTTTTTTTCCTCTTTAGCATAAGCTACGAAGAGTAATTGCATGTAGTTGTTCTCATTCTCCTACCACAGCCCCAGTCTGTCTCAAATAGACCTTACTGATCATTCCTGTTGGTCTGCAACAATACAGTAACTGTTCCAGTAATTTACTGAGTACTTGTTCAGCACGCTGCCTCAGTTCGTTAATATTGAGCGATGTGAACTGCAAAGCAACTACTGCCATGCCTTAGCCCCCATTTCAGATGGAGTCTAATACCAGTTTGAGGAAAACTTTTTTTTTGCTCAGGCAATTGATGTTTGTATTTATAAAATACAAAATAAATGGATGAAGATCATGGAAACCTCCTTTGCAATAGCTTTTTTTTCTGACCTATCTCAGCTCTACGTGCCCTGCAACAGTTGGGATGTACAGCTGCAGGCACTTGTCTCAGCTACATAAAAGGTACCAGAAGCCATTAAGCCCTTCAATGAAGAGGCTGCCACAGGAGCAGCAGGTTTGTTATGCAGGTGTCATGATTTAACACCAGCCGGCAACTAAGCCCACACAACCACTCGCTCACTCTCACCCAGTGGGATGGGAAAGAGGATCAGAAGCATAAAAGTGAGAAAACTTGGAGGTTGAGATAAAGGAAGTTTAATGGGGAAAGCAAAAGGCACACAGGCAAGCAAAGCAAAGGAAGGAGTTCATTCATCGCTTCCCACAGGCAGTCACATCCCCAGCAAAGCAGGGCTCCATCGCATGGAATGGTGACTTGGGAGGACAAAGGCCATCACTCCAAATGTCCTCCCTTCCTTCTTCTTCCTCCAGTTTATATTCTGAGCATGACACCATATGGTATGGAATATCCCTTTGGTCAGTTGGAGTCACCTGTCCTGACTGTGTCCCTTCCCAGCATTTTGTGCACCCCCAGCCTTCTCACTGATGGAATGGGGTGAGGAGCAGAAAAGGCCTTGACGCTGTGTCAGCATTAATCAGCAGTTACTAAAACATCCCTGAGTAATCAACACTGTTTCCAGCCCAAATCCAAAACATACTCCCATACCGACTACTGTGAAGATAATGAACTCTACCACAGCCAAAACCAGCACAGCATGGTTGGCAGTGACATCCTCCCTGTGCATGCCACTCAGCTGCTCTGGGCACACACCCCACATCTGAAGAACAGTGCTGGACATCTTCCAATGTCACTGAATTTCCTATGCCTTTGCTGCACATGCATGTGTGGTACTGAAGATTTTCATCATTATTACATGGACCCTGAGGCATCACAGTGTCTTGAGAAAAAGATCTTCCCTCACAGCTGGTGATAAATTAATGCAATCATGCTAAAAGTGAGTTGCAAGAAGGGGAGGGAAATGCAGTAATTTGTCTCACTTGTTTTTTTTAATGTTTTCTCATTACTGGGCAGAATGGCAAAACAACATTAAATATTAATTTATCTGCTAGATCATTTCTAATGCTGTATATGTAGCAGCACAGCATGAACATATATATGCAGCTCTATTTATATCAGCTGATTCTAAGTAGTCCATGGGATTATAAGACTGTAAATATGTGAGCTTAAAAACAAAAAAACACCCACATATGTACAAAAAAGGTACTGGGTGTATCTGCACTTTATGTACTTTGTCCTTCAAATAATATAGTAAATACCCTGTGCAAACACTCTTCAGGTGCAGAATAAGTCCATAATTCATGCAAATAGTAATGTAATGAGTGAAGACCTGAATTGGTGCCCTTGGACATCGCAAATCTTTTCATTAGTGGACTTACTAAGGTACAAAGCCTAAACCTGGTTTGAGGTCAGATTTGACCTGTAAGATATGTTTCTCATTTGTTTTCCAAAAAAAAAATCTGACAGTGCAAATGATTGAATTCTGAGAGTTAAAATAAGAAGCAGGCTTTAATGTATTTTTTATGAGCTGAAGAGAACTCATTTCTGGCAAGGCTGATGATTTATAAGGAGGAAAAAGGAGAACTGAGTCACATACAGTGAAAACAACTTATTGGTTTAAAGGCAGAAATGTATTAAAAATTTCAAAGGCACAGCCCTATAATAGTATCATTTAAAGGCATTGTTTCTCCAGAAGACATTTGTCCTCTAGTTTCTCAACCATCACTGGGTATTGCTATGCCAGTTCTTTAAACTATGGTAACATTTGTCCAGTGTAGTGTGTTTCATACCTGAGCAGCTTTCTGATTTCAGTAACTACTCATGTGTATGAAATGGTCCCAGTGGCTTTCCACTTGGTGTTTCTTCTGCTTTAGTTTAGAAAAAAACCAGTGTTTTTTCTTCTCAAAGGTAGTAATCTCACAAAACCATGTTAAAATTGTGTTAGTTGTTATTAGGTAAGACTTGATTGATTGTACCTTAAACTATATGTATATTTTTAAAGTTATCTTAAATGATAATTGATACTTCCTCAAAACAAGGGATTCTAGGTCTTTCCCAGTGAAAATATTATTGTGCTGTTTGACTCATAACTAGTTAAATTGTTGCAGATCTAAAAGAGAGTTAATTTGACTTATACTATCTTTGTATGTCTAGTATATATTTAATGCTATGTTACAGATTTTTTATCTACATAGTCACAATAAGATATAACCCAAAGCATTTATATTTTTATTGTATTGTGCAGTCTGGACATGCCAGAGGTGTTAGACAAGATATTTTATAGAAAAGTTGAGGCTTGTTTCTAACAGTGGCAGTAGGACCGTGAATTATTTAAATCCCTTTATCTGAACAAAGCACAATGAAATATACAATAAATATATAGATAGAAATCCCGTTTAAAATTTTATTGAAAGTACATAACACATCTTACTTTTGTTTAAAAGGGAAAAAAAAAGTCCATGAATATTCTTTTAAGATATTTCACGCTTAGGTGAAGTGTGTGTAAGTGTTGTGTAAGTGTTGTATGTTCCACTGGAGAGGTGAATCCCTGTTTGCCTGGAACAAAGTTTTTCTTCCTGGTAAGAGTGGGTTTTGTGCAATAACCTGTTAGTTATCCAGGTTTTAATATTGCATGTTTTGAATATCAGATTTGGGTTGTTTTCATGGCAAAACTCTGTATGTGAAGAGAGGAAGAGTCTGTTTTATGAGAGGTAATTCTACCAATTGCATTGAAGTCTCAGACTGTATGGCTGGCTGGCTGAATGCCTCCTGCAATCAAACTGTGAGAAGCCAGAAGTTGTGCAATGGGGAAGACTTTTCACAAGTGTGTCTTCATGGGATGGGGGGCTCATGGCTTTGAATGATTTAGTTTTCCATAGGAGCATTTTGTGTTGTTTTTCTCCTCGTGAGAAGAGAGAGATTGCAGAGAACTAAGCAGGATGCAAAAAGGGAGAATCTCTGCTTCCCATGCAAGTTCTAGATTTGCCTCTTAGGATATGTTCACTGGGCTTCTGTTCCCACCCAAAAAAATAAATGCAGTGAAAAATGATTTTGTTATGTCTGCTAGCTAAAACATTGTGATTTCTGCCAACGTTATAGCTCATCTATAAGGAATGTTGAGTAGGAAATTTGGTTCCTCTATGAAGTAACATGATGTGCAAAAATTGAGAACAGCTGTTTATTGACAGATGCCTTCACATGTGCAGACATAGATGTTATAGCTTCAATGAGGCAATTCTCTAGTATATTTCACTGTTCCTTACTGACAATCTGATTTGTATTTTCCAACAGTGGGATGGTGTAGGACCTCTCCCAGACTGTGCAGAACCACCCAAAGGAATCCAGATGCTGTGGCACCCTTCAATAGTCAAACCCTACCTCACACTTCTTTCTGAGTGCTCAAATCCAGATACACTGGAGGGGGCAGCAGGGGCACTACAGAACTTGGCTGCTGGGAGTTGGAAGGTAGGAAAATTAACCCAGTATGTATTTCTTTTTCAATTCAGAAGCAAACCTATAGATGACAGCAGATTGGTGATATAAATGTATCTAAATGCCTCTGGTTGTGGAATAACCTTCTCTTTTCACAGAACTATCTGCAGTCAAATTTGAGATAATATTTTAAGTCCTAGGTAGTCATTTCATAGCAAACGTTAGCATACAGCAGCGAAGATCACATTGGTCAAGTCAAGTATGAAAAATTGCCACTGAAACCAACACCCAAATGAGGAGAAGCAGTTCTTTATAAATCTGGGTGACAGAGCCATGAAAAATGAGCCAAAAATGCCACCAGTGGCAATCAAATGAAACTGTATTGTTTTGTCACTGCAGAAACTGGTTGACATTCTGTCTCTTAGGAGAAACCAGAGCACAGCAGAGCAAGATATAAATGATGTGACACCAACACAAATAATCTTTCCATCTACTTTTTTTTAAAAGTAAGACAATAAAATTCATCAACAATATGGTTAAATATTTACAATGAGCAAGGAAATGCTCAATCAAGCCACTCTGTTCCAGCTAATCCTACTTTTCAGTTATATTCAAAAGATCCATTTTTCTCTCTTGTGTTATTTGCAGTGAGTAAAGAATTTAAGAAAATACTTCTAAATTTAGAAGAGATGAGTAAAATTCAAGATAACAATGAGCTTGGTTTACTTTTTAGGGCAATTCCTTTGTTACTTTCCTGATGGTAAACTGGTTTAATTGGATGAAAGTACTAACTGTCTAATCCTGTGGTGTAACTATAATGCATTGATTTAACTCTCAGCAGGAATTTTTCTCATTTACTATGAAAACATTCATGTATGTGGAAATGCAGTTATCAAAGTTATGTCTCAGAAGGTATCCTGTTGGGGTTTAAGCAGTTGGGCATGTGATATGTAAATACCAATGAAATTAGGCATTCATTTTGAAATGTGAGTGCTGACACAAGAAATTGGGGGGTTTTTCCCATGAAGTTTTATGGGAAGTTGGGTTAGCACATTCACTAGATCTTCAGGGGAATGTGACTTGGGTTTTTTTTAGCATTGTGTTCTACCAAACTTATAAAATGGTTTTGACTGTTGCATTCAATGACATGTGAAATGATTTAACACAGTATCTGTCCAGTGATTTTTATCCTATGAAGTGCTATGTAAATACTGTGCCTGAAAATCATTATCCTTTTATTTTTCTCATATTGCAGACCACATCAGATTGTGTAATCCTGGCACAGAAACACAATAAATGTCTTCTATCCATCTGGGAATGGGTGTAGCCCTGGTCCAAATGAGAAAACAATGCATGCATATTTGCCAGGACTTAATAGAAATGCTAAAATCCAAGTGGTGCCCCTTCTCCCATGTCTTAATAAAGCTGTATACCTGTCATCCTTTAGTTGGCAGAAGTGTACAGGAAGAGGAAGGAAGGCTTTGTGGAGCTCTTTGTTGAGTGCTGGCTTAGAAATACTGTTTTGAACTTTAATACTGTCTGTGCTGATACCATGGGAAAAGCTCAGTTTTTCTCGTATTGCTCTATTTTTCTAAAGATTCACCAATTCTATTACAAGGGATGTGCAGACATAGAATGAATATCCTTAATTTCACATGTCATACTAGCCATTTTTGTGAGGGGAGTAATCCTCTTTGGGGATTACATAAGCATTGATGTTTCCACCTTTTGACCTCTCCTTTCCACTGCTGCAGTCTAGATATAAAATAACTGAAGTAAAAGATAGAAAACTATTAAAAAAGAGGTTATTCCTAAGGGAGATTTTAATTTTTTTAGTTCCTCCAAGAGACTGTAATTGTATAAAGAATGGAAAAAAAAATTTCTTTTTTTTCTTTTTAACTTGAAATCTTTCAAGAAGAACTTTATGATGGACTGTAAGAGAGAAGAAGAGCAAACTGCATGAAAATAGTCTTGCTATTAATATTAATAGCAATAGCAGTTGTGGACTTTTTCCAATTAGCATTATTTTAATGCCAAGAGAATCTGGTAATATATGAGGCGCACAGTGCACCAGATATGCTCACACACTACTGAAGATACAGTCTCTTCTGAAAAAGAATACAGCACAGTTGATATACTTGCATAATTCTTTCCTAGCTGTTTCACCCTTTTGGTTCCTCTGGTACAAAGCTGTCTAATCCTCTTGGGTGACCAAGAGGTGACATTTTTAACACAGGCAGTGCTTAGCCAATGCTATTACAGAGGGAAAGTGAGCTGATAAAAGGAAGCCAGAATAATTTTTTAAAAATAAAAACTTGTGTAGGGGATTTAGATGACTGTCTGCCACTAGAATTAACAGATGATATGTGTCTAAATCCCCTAGACTACTTTCGAGAATTTCAGACACAAAAAGAAAGCAGTAGTATGTAGCTTTAAGGATTAATAGCTCAGAGAGTCTAAAAGTTTTCATTATTTCAGGGAATATAGTTTTTCAGTGATACAGACACACAGAATCAACACATGCACATAGTGAAACGTAGGACATTTTTAGCACTGCTTCGGTTGCAGGAATTCCTTCTAAAGCCAAATACTAACATAAAAGAAAAAGTGTCACATATGTATATTTGCATACATTTTTTCTGTGTCAAAATTAAACACTTTTGACTAAGGTCTTGCCATATATTACCCATCCGCAAAGTAAAACTTGGGGTTCTTTTACAATGACTAATGCAGTACTTGGTCCATGCAATTGTTATTAGAACAAAGATAATCTATAATGAAGCAGAAAGGGAACATTTTGGTGACAAGTATATTAACAGGCCTGAATGAAAGGTTATCAATAAAGCAGGATTTTAAGGTATGTGGAAAATGTGAAAATTTAACCTGGCATAGATCACATCTGTGTATGTTTACTTTGGTGTATATTCTGGTTCTGAAGAAGATTGACAGTTTATATACAAAGCAGAACTCATTTTGGAAGGGGCTTTGCCAGGTGAACACAGACATCTCACTATTCTGCATCAAGATGTCATTACACAAATATGACACTGGTATTGGAATCTGAAGGAGAAGAACCATCTGTCATGGAAAATTACATGTGTATCCTTACTGAGATCTCTTCTTTTATTCAGGTGCTTACTTGTTGCACGTATGCAAAATAGAAATGCTGTTCTGGAATAATATCTATGGAGACAGTCGAATATGTAAACCTTTGGGGAAGATTGCACAAATTAAAGTTTACCACATCACTGCCAGGGTACCACTTCGTTTAAGGTCTAACTACTGCCTTGCACAGTGACCTGTGACACCAGCACCAGGTCACTGCATGACCCTATTCTGATGGGATTGAAGGCTGCTACTAATACACACTTGAAGTACAATGCCACCTGACACCCTATGGGTCAGTTTGTCAGCACTATACCTGCATGCACCTACCACCTTCTGCAGAACTCAGCTGATACTTGAGGTTTCAGAATCACAGAATATTCTAAATTGGAGGGGACCCACAAGGATCAAGTCCAAATCTTAAGTGACTGGCCCAATCAGGGATCAAATCCATGACCTTGGTGATATTAGCACCATCCTCTAATCAACTGAAGTAATCTCAGAGTCTGTACCTGGGATTGGGTGGTTTTCTGTTTGAGGGAACTCACTGATTCCAAAAATATTTTATCCTATCAAATAATAATCATGTTAATTTCACGGTATCCTAAACATCCTGCAAGGCAGAAGGAACAACATGTGAAAAGGATGGCTATTGGTTTTGGCTTTACTTCCTTTCATTGCCATCCTGAGATATTTTCTTCAAAAAACAGACTTTTTCTAATTATACTTAACAGGAACTTGCATTTTAAAGCTACTTAGAAATATGAAATAAAAATCTTGGGAAAATACATTCCTCATCAATCTTAGTTGGAGTTTTCCCTGAACAAATAAAGTTTGAGACATTGCCTTTGGAAGCAATGGAAATTCTTTACTTCCCGTTATGTAGTGACTTTTCATTGGGAACTCTGTTAGTTATCTTTGCAACTTAATTTGGATTTAACCAAATTTGTGCACAAATGCAGAAATAAAACAAAAAATAAGAGATTTACTGACTCACTCAGCTGTATTCTAAAGACAATTGCCTGCTTATTAAGAAATCTCTCCCACTATAACCCTTTAAACCAGAATTTCCTTCTGCAACCTCAGTATCATTATTTATTTCAATACCTTGGATTAAAAAATTACATGATTTAAAATTACAAGAGTCATTCTGTAAAAGATGATCTTTTTATATATAATCTGGCATCAGTATTTTTCCTCAGATGCTGGGAGTAAAAGTGGCAAGATCTTTCTAATTTTCACTTTGATCAATAGGCTATTAATGCATTAAGTCTCCTGAGCATGTAAGAAGTTATATGCAAAATGTCCTAGAGTTAACAATGTCAAGAATCCAAGGTTATGTCCCTTCTGAACAAAATTAACCTCTCAGGAAGAAAGGAAATATTGGGACATTATTGGGATATTATTATGTCCGTATGTATATGACAGCTGTATTTAGGCTGATAAGGAGCCCCTGGTGGTCTAGTGGTTAAGGGCGCGGCGCTGTCACCGCTGAGGCCTGGGTTCGATTCCCGGTCAGGGCCACTCCCGGGCAGGTGGGGCTCGTTAGCCCTTAAAGGCAACCCACCTACGTCCTAAGGACCTCGCTGCCACCATCCAAGCTCGCTTGGCCCCGGCAGATGAACCTTAGGATTAAAGGGTGGGCTCAGTTCCGCGCACACTGTGTCTCACCTAAAAAATCCAATGCGCAGGCTGGAAGGTGTAAAGACCTTCCCCGGATCTTCACTCGCGAAGACTGGCCGTTTAGGCTGATGTCAGTTTACTTGCCAGAGATATTACGACAACACTGCAATACATGTTGCTGAGCATGATTCATAGAATCATGAAAGAGCTGAAGTTAACAGAGACCTCTGGAGGTGACCTGATCCAACCCCCTGCTTAAGTAAGGCCACCTAGACCCAGTTGCCTAGGACCATGTCCAGATGGTT